AAAAAAAAAAAGAAAAAAAAAGGAGGAATAAAATCAGTTTTTATCTTCAGTGTTTGCAGTCCATTGGAAGGAAATGATTCGCCAAGGTGTATGGCTGCAATTCTGCACACCAGGCTGTGTGATGATTAAAAGCATCCAAAAAGCACAAACTGGACCCAGTTGTTTATTTCTAAAGTGAAATGTGTTGCATGGAAAATTACAGAATATACCTTTCCTAAAGAAAAACCCCATGATCTTTTTTTTCCTGGCCAGAGAGGTTTGCTGAGTCTGCAGAGCACTTTGATCTAAGCCTTCCTAAAATCACAGTGCTTGGCACAGACCTTTTTTCCCCCTCCATCAGCTGAATTTGCAGAGAACTGAGCAAAGGTCCCTCGTTAAAAGCAAAAATCCCTCCACAAAATACATTTTCACTTTCAGCTGGAATCATGCACACATTTTCCTCTTACAGCCAGGATGGAGGAGATGACACTGAAAAAGCCCCAAAAAATGCTATAAAACTCCCCAGTTCCCTCAAACCGCACATCAGCAGGTCGACCTAAATATTGCAGAGAAAAAAAAAGACATTGGATTTTTTGTCTGACACTTTTTTCCCTCCCTGCCAGGAGCTCTTGGGCGCTCGGCAATTAGGAGCTGTGGATTAAACTTGAGTGATATAATGAAGTGCCAGGTGGCTGGAGGACAGAGCTGGTGAACAAGGGGGGCTTGGGAAGGGGGAAGTTGCTCTACAGATTACCATGGTTTAGGACAGGTTTAGTGCAGACAGAGCACCCAAGGTGATGGGAAAGAGGAGGCAGAGCCTGGGGGGCTCAATGCAATATGCTCAATGCAATGCTCAATATTCAGGCTCATCCCTACTCCTTGACCCTCTGCATCAAAATGTATGGACTGGGCAGGGCTTGTGTTGCAGAGGAAAAATGATCTTTGCATGTTTTCTAACCCTGATTTGCTCGTAATGTCCCCAAAGTAACTTTCCACCTGCTTTACACCATCCCAGCATCTCCCAGCCCCATGTCAATTATTTATTGAGGAAAAATACCCCAGGAAGGCTATATCTGTGTCGTAGAACCACAAAGTTCTTGGAGTGTGAGGGGGTTTAAAGCCCCCTGCCACTATCCCAGGTTAATCCAAGCCCTGTCCAGCCTAGCCTTGGACACTTCCAGAGATGGGGCACCCACAGCTGCTCTGGGCACCCTGTGCCAGAGCCTCTCCACCCTCACAGTGAAGAATTCCTTCCCAATATCCCATCTAACGCTGCCATCTGGAAGTGGAAAGCCATTCCCCCTTGTCCTGCCACTCCAGACCTTTGTAAATAGTCTCTGTCTTTCTTGACAGCTCCTTCAGGTTCTGGAAGGCCACCCTTAGGTGACCTCAAAGTCTCTTTTCCAGGCTGACCAACCCCAACTGTCTCAGCTCTTTGCCTTTTCCCCAAGGTCTCTGGGAACCCGAAAGTCGAGAGCAGCTGGCAGCGAGGGCCACGTTCTTCCAACAATCCGCCTTGTCTTTCCAAAGTGAGGATATAAATAGTGCGTCCTGCAAGGACGCCATTACCCAGGAGCTGCGCCACAGCAAACCCCTTACCCACAGCAGCCAATTTATCCCCAGCTCCGGCAGGGTCAGCAACCACCAGGGAAACAAATGCTAATTAATAGCACCGTGCAAAGCAGCTGGTCTGGGCATGGCATATAATTAGTGAGCCAACTGCACCCGCCACAGTGCTGGGGCTGTGGGGCAAGAGGCGACGGAGCAGCCGCCGGGGAGGGACCCACTGCAGCTTCTGGTAGGACTCAGGATGAGGGCACCGATTGCTCTGGAGACACGTGTGCCATCAGCGAGGCGGTGAAACTCCGTGTGCGTGCTGCCATCCCTCTGATCTCCACACCACCCCTCCTGCTGCAACCCCATCCCTGCTGGCTCCTCCACGCGCTCTCTCTGCCTCAGCCCTTTTGCAGGTAAACGTGACATTTCCTCGGGGCAGGAAAGATGCTTGGAATATAAAAACTCCTGATGGTGGGAGATGCAGAGCCCAGGGAGGAATCGTGCTAATGCCCTTACATCTCTGCTGTGGTGAGTCATGCAGGCCCTCAGAGGATTCCAGCTGTGCTTGGATACCGGGAAGGTAGAAGCACAAGGCAAAATGAAAAATTGCTTTGCTCAGAAGATATCTTGGTTACAGCAAAGACTAAAACTGTCCCCTTGGCACCCACCCTCAGCTCTGGTCCCACAGCCATGGGGAGGAGGGGTTGTTGAGCTGTTG